GAAAACGTAATATGTTGACGATTTGTCACCTAGCGTAAAATGTTACGCTTTGGGAGTGAGAACGTGTTGGCATAAACCGGTCCGTGGCGCCAAAAAGGTTGGGGACCGCTGCTCTAGATAACAACAGATTTGCAGTTTTTGCTGATTTATCACAGTTAATTTCCGTATCACAAACTGATTCCATGTAATTGCAAACTTGACTCCATTCAACTGTAAACTGGTAGCAGACTGACTCCATCTAATTGCAGAGACCACAAGTTCTTTGCACACAGTCGCACATTTTAACAGTCCGTGGGGAGCGACTCACTTTCAAATGAAGCCTCGTGTGGTTGGTAGAGGAACTCCAGTTTTTGGCTTAATTGTGGTAACGCTGCACAGTCAGTGTACTGGTTACTGGACATTGTTTAGCCTTCCGTTGGGAGTCCCTCAGTGTTCGAAAACACGAGGAGGTCTAGTGTTACAGTGAGGCTTTCAGATTTTCATATCCCGTTGTTTGCATGCTGGAAACAAAGAACGTGTAATGGACTGAGCAGCGTTTTATTCAGTTCAAACACAGAGTTGGATTTGAAAAGCAGACAGTGGAGTCAGACTACATTTATAAAAGCTGGTCAGTGTCAGAAAGCCTGTAATGTGTTTTTAGACAGAGGGTGGGCAGGAATTAGTAACGAGTTGATGCACATCGACTGCAGGCCGCGGGTCAGTTTTCACTCAGAGCTGGATATTAACACAAGCATTCAGTGGATGTTTTCACGTCCAGGCCGCTTTGATGATGGCTTGTGGAAGTGACTGAGTGCATACAGAGGAGATTAGACAGTCTTTACATCTTTTTCTGTTACAGCTGTCCTTTAACCTATCCTTCCTCTTTAATCCCCCGACACGTTTGATGTAGTTCTCCTTCCTAATTCCTAATAATTGATGAGCTGCTGCTCATTTAAGCTTTTGTGAGTCCTGCCTTTATTGCATTTGTTTGCATAGACGTTTGTGGTCAGACACGCTGACATTTCAGAATAAAACCGCACGAACAGACAAATGCATAAATTTTCCTGCTGACATTTTAAAAATGAGCTGGAAAAACACACACGCACACGAATCTCAAGCCTTTTAGCCAAAAACAGCAAATGTGATTAGACTGATTTTTTTCCCCTGTGCTGTTTATATGTGTTTGTGTTTGTGTAATCCTCCTCGCATGTCTCAGATCCCTCCTTGCATGCATCCTGTGCTGTGACTGCCTGGACCCCCTCCATCCTCAAGACCTGGATCCTCCCCTTCCACCCTACCCCTGTTCTACACGCCCTTCTCTAACTCCCCTGCAGGGAGAGGTGGAGAGGCCTCAAACCACCCTCCCACTTTCTCCTCTTGGTCACTGGGCTGTAGCTGTCAGGGACTCACGGGGAGCGGAGAGTTTGGGTGATAGGGGCAGCGTAGCTGGACTCTCGTGCAGCACTTTGGCCCCATCTGAGCTGATGGACATGCGACAGCTCCTCCGAATCCCTAGGAGACAGCATCGATTGCTGGACACGTTCTGTCCATGTGTAGTGGCTTGTTTAAGAAGACTGAACTTTAATAGATAATATGCTCAGCTTTAAACTGCTGGAACATTCTACTTCATTCTTATTCTCTTTTTTAGAGGGTTTCACAGCACAGCTCTGTTACCAACCACTTATGATTTGGCTTCGGTTATTTCAGAAGTGTCTGAATAGGGAAGAAAACATAAAGGGCCAAACATATGTAAAATGTAGATGTCACTTAAAAGCCTATTATAGTTAACTTAAAAGGAAAAATGTAACAAATAAAAACTAGACAGGAGAAAAAAACAATTAACTGAAACTATAATATATTAAGTTTTAGTCTTAAAACTTAATTTTAATGTTCTCAGATTGGTCATGAGGCTAAACGACATGTTTAATGACATTAAAACTGTAAGTTTGGCTTGTAAAGCTTGAGTTTTGACTCATGTGACACGTTTGGATGATTATACTGCATTTCTTTTCTTTGGGACTCCAGACTTTT